AATGGCCACGTATTGTCTTCAGATAACACACGTTTTTGTGCAGGTGAATCGATCAAAATCATGTGCACAGCACTATAGTGGCAAAAGTGGTTTTTCACGTGCAACTGGTCACGTGGCCATAATACCGCACGTGTTTTCAGCCATACTTGTTAGCAGTCATTAACAAAAAAAGAAAAACACAAGAAAACAAAAGTCTTTACGACCATTTGTCATGCCACGCCTTTCTAATGTGCAACGTGAACGTGCCATCGACATGTTGCAGACGGGAACGTCCGTAGCTGAAGTCGCAAGGACGATGGGTTGTAGTCGACGGACTGTTTATGATTTACAGACGCGTCTACAGCAGGTCATGTCGACCACGTGTGACGTCACATGCAGAGGATCGTCAGATTGTCTTACGTCACCTCCATAACCGATTTTTGACGGCTACATCAACCAGAAATGAACTGTTTAGGGGTAGACTGAGTGCGCAAACTGTTCGAAACCGTCTGAGAACTGCTCACCTTCAAGCACGACGGCCATACTGCGGGCCGATTCTGACTCAATTACCGAGTCGTCAACGTCAATTGTGGGCACAGCGACACTTACGATGGACTCAGAGGAATTGGAACGAAGTCGTCCCGATTTAATCTTCGACTTGCTGATGGTAGGGCGAGGGTATGGAGGCGCTGTCATGAACGTTACGCCCAGTGTTGTGTACAGGAAGTTGACAGATTTCGAGGCGGAAGTGTCATGGTGTGGGGTGCTTTCTGTGGCAATGCACGTTCCAGGCTTCTTGTCATCCGTGGCAACCCCAACGCTGCTGCTTACCGCGACCAGGTACTGGCACCAGAACTTCTGCCTTTTATGGCAGCACATGGATCCGGTTTGATCTTCCAACACGACAATGCCAGACCCCACACAGCAATTTTGACAAGGAATTTTCTTCAGAATGCTGGAGTCAACGTCATGGACTGGCCGTCAAGGTCTCCCGACCTCAATCCCATCGAACACGTCTGGGATGCTCTTGGCAGAAGTCTGCGCACTCTCCAGAACCAACCACAGAATTTGCAAGATCTTGGCACCATTTTGCAGAAACAATGGCGTCATCTTCCCAATCATGTGTTCACAAGCATCACAATGTCCATGCGGAGGCGTTGTGTGGCAGTTGTCAACGCACATGGTGGCCATACACGCTACTGAACTTGTGTGCCATCACATTCTCGTGCTTGGGACTTATGATCTAAACTGTTGATGTTATTACCGAATACCGTAGGTGCTTGGAACAAATTATGGTTACCACCGTTAATTAAAATCCTTCTTTGGACATTAATGATTAAAAATTATCTTCTCTGATACATTTGTCCGTTGTATATCATATATGGGATTACTTTTAAAAATGTGAATTTTTTATATTGATTGAGAATATATTATTTTAGTAAATTTAACCTGTCATCGACAATAAAAAAAAACTTGATGGATATTGAATGATACGTCAATGAAACTGGACGAATGTTGATTTAGCACTTCATGCATTTATTAACAACTTGTCAGATTACATTACAAATATAACTTATTATAACTTATTAACCAATATTAGAATACATTTCTTCAATGAAGAACATTTAAATAATTCACGACATTAGCACCCATACTTAATTGAAGAACATTGTTATTTACTGTACATGATAGTTAACTTACAGTGTTGGCAATAGGAATCAGGGGGTTGTTCATTAAGGAAATTACACTGCTTCTTAAACTCTGCGGGTTCGATTCCCGACATGGGTACAATGTGTGAAGCCCATTTCTGGTGTCCCCCGCCGTGATATTGCTGGAATATTGCTAAAAGCGGCGTAAAACCATACTCACTCACTCACTCTTAAACTCTGCTTGCATTGTTTTCTGCAGGCCATGCATTGATATCGTCATACTTTAGAGAGCATGTTCATTTTGTGGTGATGCTCAGCTGGCACTGTTCACTGTTGTATTTACGCGAGGAAAAGATTTTAGATTGAGATCAGCATTTTCTTGAATTTATTATTTCATTTTTTTTCAACGAAGACAGGTTGTCTTATAACTATACGTAACGAAATGTAGTTTTGGGAAACTTTAATATAGCCTTCTCTACAGGGTGGTCAGGTCTCTTCTATTTTTGCAGGCTTTTGTCGCGGGAGACCATGGATCTTTGCTCGGGGTGAAAGAATCATTTGGCGCTGGCAGAGCAGTGCCTGTTGTGGTGGTACATGCTTACTCGGGTTATCACAGGCCCTGTTGTTGCAGTGTACATGGAGTATGCTGAGATTTACTTTACCTTCCAACTGTATGACTGTACATGGAGGGTTGCCCATGTGTGGTTGTACATCGAGGGTTGCCCCTGTATGGTTGTACGTCTAGGGTTGCCCCTGTATGGTTGTACATCGAGGGTTGCCCCTCTATGGTTGTACATCGTGGCCCTGTATGGTTGTACATCGACGGTTGCCCCTGTATGGTTGTACATCGAGGGTTGCCCCTGTATGGTTGTACATCGAGGGTTGCCCCTGTATGGTTGTACATCGAGGTTTGCCCCTGTATGATTGTACATCGAGGGTTGCCCCTGTGTGGTTGTACATCAAGGGTTGCCCCTGTATGGTTGTACATGGAGGGTTGCCCCTGTATGGTTGTACATGGAGGGTTGCCCCTGTGTGGTTGTACATGGAGGGTTGCCCCTGTATGGTTGTACATCGAGGTTTGCCCCTGTATGGTTGTACATCGAGGGTTGCCCCTGTGTGGTTGTACATCGAGGGTTGCCCCTGTATGGTTGTACATCGAGGGTTGCCCCTGTATGGTTGTACATGGAGGGTTGCCCCTGTGTGGTTGTACATCGAGGGTTGCCCCTGTGTGGTTGTAAATCTAGGGTTGCCCCTGTATGGTTGTACATCGAGGGTTGCCCCTGTATGGTTGTACATCGAGGGTTGCCCCTGTATGGTTGTACATCTAGGGTTGCCCCTGTGTGGTTGTACATCGAGGGTTGCCCCTGTATGGTTGTACATCTAGGATTGCCCCTGTATGGTTGTACATCTAGGGTTGCCCCTGTATGGTTGTACATCTAGAGTTGCCCCTGTATTGTTGTACATCCAGGGTTGCCCCTGTATGGTTGTACATGTAGGGTTGCCCCTGTATGGTTGAAGATCTAAGGTTGCCCCTGTATTGTTGAATATCTAGGGTTGCCCCTGTATTGTTGAACATCTAGGGTTGCCCCTGTATGGTTGTACATCCAGGGTTGCCCCTGTATGGTTGTACATCGAGGGTTGCCCCTGTATGGTTGTACATCGAGGGTTGCCCCTGTATGGTTGTACATCGAGGGTTGCCCCTGTGTGGTTGTACATGGAGGGTTGCCCCTGTGTGGTTGTACATGTAGGATTGCCCCTGTGTGGTTGTACATGGAGGGTTGCCCCTGTGTGGTTGTACATTGAGGGTTGCCCCTGTGTGGTTGTACATGTAGGATTGCCCCTGTGTGGTTGTACATCGAGGGTTGCCCCTGTATGTTTGTACATCGAGGGTTGCCCCTGTATGGTTGTACATCGAGGGTTGCCCCTGTATGGTTGTACATCGAGGGTTGCCCCTGTATGGTTGTACATCGAGGTTTGCCCCTGTATGGTTGTACATCGAGGGTTGCCCCTGTGTGGTTGTACATCGAGGGTTGCCCCTGTATGGTTGTACATGGAGGGTTGCCCCTGTATGGTTGTACATGGAGGGTTGCCCCTGTATGGTTGTACATGGAGGGTTGCCCCTGTGTGGTTGTACATCGAGGGTTGCCCCTGTGTGGTTTTACATCTAGGGTTGCCCCTGTATGGTTGTACATCGAGGGTTGCCCCTGGATGGTTGTACATCAAGGGTTGCCCCTGTGTGGTTGTACATGTAGGATTGCCCCTGTGTGGTTGTACATCGAGGGTTGCCCCTGTATGTTTGTACATCGAGGGTTGCCCCTGTATGGTTGTACACCGAGGATTGCCCCGGTATGGTTGTACATCGAGGGTTGCCCCTGTATGGTTGTACATCTAAGGTTGCCCCTGTATTGTTGAATATCTAGGGTTGCCCCTGTGTGGTTTTACATCGAGGGTTGCCCCTGTATTGTTGTACATCAAGGGTTGCCCCTGCATTGTTGAATATCTAGGGTTGCCCCTGTATTGTTGAACATCTAGGGTTGCCCCTGTATGGTTGTACATCAAGGGTTGCCCCTATATTGTTTAATATCTAGGGTTGCCCCTGTGTGGTTGTACATCGAGGGTTGCCCCTGTGTGGTTATACATCTAGAGTTGCCCCTGTATAGTTGTACATCCAGGGTTGCCCCTGTATTGTTGTACATCTAGGGTTGCCCCTGTATTGTTGAATATCTAAGGTTGACCCTGTATTGTTGTACATCCAGGGTTGCCCCTGTATTGTTGTACATCTAGACTTGCCCCTGTATTGTTGAATATCTAGGGTTGCCCCTGTATGGTTGAACATCTAGGGTTGCCCCTGTATTGTTGAATATCTAGTGTTGCCCCTGTATGGTTGAACATCTAGACTTGCCCCTGTATTGTTGAACATCTAAGGTTGCCCCTGTATTGTTGAACATCTAGGGTTGCCCCTGTACTGTTGAATATCTAAGGTTGCCCCTGTATTGTTGAACATCTAGGGTTGCCCCTGTATTGTTGAACATCTAGGGTTGCCCCTGTATTGTTGAATATCTAAGGTTGCCCCTGTATTGTTGAATATCTAGAGTTGCCCCTGTATTGTTGAACATCTAGGGTTGCCCCTGTATTGTTGAATATCTAGGGTTGCCCCTGTGTGGCTGTACATCTAGGATTGCCCCTGTATTGTTGTACATCGAGGGTTGCCCCTGTATGGTTGTAAATCCAGGGTTGCCCCTGTATGGTTGTATATCTAGAGTTGCCCCTGTATGGTTGAAGATATTAGGTTTCTCCTGTCCGGCTGTACATCTGGGTTGCCCTCCACACCTACCCCATCCCCAAATCACAGAAATAAAACAATATCCAAAATTCTTGTTGAACATTTTATAGCTACAATCATAATTCAGCAGATTATACTAGTGTCTCTTATTCTTCTTCTTCTTCTTCTTTTTAGGAGGGGTTCCAACATCTGCTGAACCTCTCTTCTTTCTCTGTGACACACCTTCTTCCATGAACAAGTCATCTGAAATTACACATTTTGTTTCCTGTCAGCCTGAAATCCACTATAAGTTAATTCTTGTTGATACCCATGAACATCCGGGTTAGAATTGGTCTTCAACAACCCATGCTTGTTGTAACAGGCGACTAGCAAGATTGGGAGGTCAGGCTCGCTGTCATCACATCCTTATTGCATGGATCGCTGCTCATCATGTTAATCACTGGTCTGTCTCGACCAGGCTTCATTATTTACAGACTGCCATCATATAGCTGGAATATTGCTGAGTGCAGCGTTAAACAACAAATAAACAAACAAACAAAACTTCTTATTGAGCTTACTTCCTGAGTAAATCATACGACCAGTTTATGCACTTGACACAAAAAACATCTGAAGAAAAAAGAATAAATTATTGGCACAACCACATTGTGTTCAAAACTATGACTGGAAGTCACGGTCCTTTTTATTTCCCTTATCCAAACAAATCAAGTCTTCTTGGTGTTCAGTGTATGCTTCTTGAACTATCGAGTGAACAAAAGATTTTCAGGGAATGATTATGAACTACATCATAAATGATTCGTGTGTCAACATAATTCCCTCAGGTTATAAAGGCAAGAAACTTGACAACTTGAGATATATCAATGCCCTTCATTGTGAAAGTACATGTTCACTGAATTCCTAATGCAATAAAGAAAAACCAACCATTGCCCTTCTGAATGTTCCTCTTTGATGTCTTTGGTTCCTTGGCTTGAGGCTCATCTATATGAACAAGAAAACAAATGTACCTTCTCCTCAGTTGGCCTTGTTGAGCTGTTTTGCCAACATTGGACTTTTTCGTCAATACTACCATCTGTATAGAAATTAACTGCATGTGCTTTTTAAGGTTTAAAGAAAGATTTCAGGAAACATAACATGATGTATAAAAGAAATGAACTTATTGCCAGGAAAAGAATGAAGCGCTTTGAAGCAACATTTACCCTTTTTAATCCTTATGCATTGGTCATATTATCTAGTAAACAAACAGCCTGTTATATATCACCTGCTCCAAACGGCTTGAATCTGATTTTGAGTCCTGATGGGAAGGGCACAGTATTGTGGGGGATCTTGGCTGCTGTGACAGCCTTCAGTACATCCCTTGGTTTCTTCAGGATGTGTATTTGTCCCTGGAACTTTGGTCCTGACAGAAATATACAGTGATCTCTTTCCTCATAAGGATACACAGGGATATATGTCCTTGCATGATTTTGCCTTCTTTATGCAATATGTGACTTTAACATTGAAATCTGGAAAATGACTATAATAATGCCTATAATAATTCTATAGCCATATCAAAGCTAACTGTATTGTCATTCAAAACCACTTTCATGTGATGACATGGTATAAAACCGAACAAGGGAGACATAAAACCACATATAATGCCTCCATGTCAGAAGGATAAGATCTGATTGGTCCATGTGATCTTGATAAAATACTGTGTAACCCGCCTTCAAGGGTAATAAATTTATCAGCAGGGGAATAAATCTCCTACTTTTATGAGCCAATGGATGTTATGTGACATAGCGCAAGCTTACCTCAGCTCAATCAAGCAGCTGTATTCTATCATTTTGGAATTTGATTGAATTGTTTCACAATGTCATATCAAAACATGTCGGTTTAGATAAATTCATTGCAGCTGGATCCTGAGGGGTACATGGGGTTTTATGCGTCTCTCGTGGGATAAAACCTAAAGCAGGATGCACAAAACCCTATGTACCCCTCTTGATCCTGCTACAACTTATAATATATCCCTTGTGATACTGAGCTGAGTTTAACTGGTGCTGTGTAACATGACTTTCACTGACTCCTAAACATGCAGCTTTTTGCTTCTTAGTGGTGAGTAAGAGATTTATTGTGCTAGCTCAGAAATCCTTTTGCAGCCTGGGGTAATTGAACATTTTATGATAAATTGTATATTTATATACTTATCCTATCTCACGTATTTCTCTTTCTACTTTTGGTTCTGAGTAAAAACGTGTCTGTTATAAAGGTTTCCAGCTTCTCAAGTAAACAAGCATGAAATACTCATATCCCCCGCCAATATGACATGTCCGGTTGTGTGCAATGCATAAGCTCCTGTGAACTATGTTCACTGGGTCTTTCTGTAAATGGCCCAATTGCAGACCTAAAAAAAGTTATTACTGGTGTTGCTTTGCTATCTGCAATTTATGATAGAATATGTAACTGTATTTGTAATGAGTAAGGATGAGACATATGGACGAACAACTTCTTTATTACAATTAGGAGCAATAGTTTCAGTGTAGGTTCTAACACTGTTATCAAGCAAGTGAAGTAAAGAGTATGGTTGACAAGAATATATACAGGATAGGAGGCACTGTTCATACAGTTGAGTAGGTTTAAGATCCGTTACACTGTTGTATTTGTAATGAATTGTGTTTCTGCATGAAGTTAGTCAGTGAATGCAACAACCGTGTCGATGTCACTTTTGGAGGAACATACACACAAGCAATGCAGAACTTACCAACAAGAAAGGAAAGGTATTCGATACTGCGAGATGACATTATGTGCCAAGTTTGGTGAATGGTACGGTTTTCAAGATCTGCTCCGGAAACGAGGACTACCACCATTTTCAGTCTTAGTCAAAATCTTTGCCATGGAAACTCGTAAAATATTTTTTTTTTAAATCCCAAACAATCAAAACGCACCAGTTCAACACTAGACCTACCTATGTGCCAAGTTTGGTGAAGAAATATGGTACGGTTTTCAAGATCTGCTCCGAAAACGAAATGTGATGGACTGACGGACAGATGGAAGGCGGAACGGCACCCATTCCTATATCCCCCTTCCACTTCGTGGCGGGGGATAATTAATCCGTGCATAATCCATGACAACACTGGGAATGAGGGTCTGATGGAGTGAAAACAAAATGGCATGAAGTACAGACTGGTCGCCATGTGGACTGCTCGTCCATTATGATGTTTAACAAGCGTATTGAAAGAAGACTCAAGTCGCCGGTAAACTCAAACGATGTTTACTTGTTCAGATCAAAACCATAACTGACAACACAACGGTATTACTATGATGACATCATCACAACACTCACACAACCATTCCAAACTACGTTAACATTGCGTTCTATTTATAGAAATACTTCCGGGTTTTGAGTTACCTACCTAACATCATTTCTCCTTCTCAGATACAATCATACCTACTTAGAAATTAGACATTGATTAAACCGATGATAATAAAGTACTGTTTACAGGTAAGCATAAAACAGGTGACTGTGTTAATTACAAATACGAATGTGTTAAATACAAAATACAAATATTTATAATTAATTGCATTTACATATTGTCAAACATGCCAATAAAGGCATTTTCACTAGAAATACAGTCAATGTAAACATGATAGTCACTCTGAATGTCTCTGGCAATTGTCTGTTGAATTTTGTTTCACGACACTTGCTTGGAACACATCATCAAGTCCCAACACAATGTCACTTGCACCTCCTGGAATGTTGATGCTGCCTGCTGCCAGTTGTTAATGTCAGGTGAATCTGAAGATTGACATTCAGTGTCCACATTCACAACACAGTCTCTAGCACTATCACTACCACTACTACTTGTAGTCAAGTGGTTCGGTCTCTCAAAATGTCTTTTCAGCTTTCGGTGATTGATGACACGTGAGCGTCCATTTCCTTCACAGGGGTAAATAAGGTAAGTTTTTTCACCGATTTGGCTATCAACGTGGTAAGGCCCTTCCCATCTTTCCGAGATGAGTTTCCGAGATGTTCCGCGCACTTGCTGAGGATGATATAGCCACACTTTTTCACCTTCTTTGAATGGAGTAAACTTGGTATGTTGTTTCTATTCACACCTCTGCTCTTGCTCTTTCAAAATCTTCTCTCTCACAGTCTTCAGCAATTCCACTAATTCAGTCAGTTTAGCTGATGAATCAGTCACCGGTTTCTGATTTTGTCTCTAGGGGATTGGCCAAGCACAATCTTGAATGGGGTCTCTTCTGTAACCTTATTTGTTGATGTGTGAATAGCTGACAATGCTGACAGTAATTTCTCATCCCAATCCTTTTGGTCATGAGCTTCTATTAGAAGAGCTAGTCTTTCAGCTAGAGTTCTATTCATTCTTTCAACCTGTCCATTGCACTGTGGGTTGTATGGAGAGGTTCTTGTTCTTTTAATGCCTAGCTTGCTGCACAACTCTTGGAGAAGTTTAGCTTCAAAGTTCCGACCTTGGTCAGAGTGTAGTCCCTCTGGCAGTCCATATCGGCACACAATTTCGCTATATATAATTGTAGCAGTTGTTTCCGCTGACTGATCAGGTATCGCAAATGCCTCTACCCATTTGCTGAAAGGATCACACAGCACAAACAAGTATCCATTACCCCGTTGTGTTGTTGGAAGTGGGCCCGCAAAGTCCATGTTCCACCACAAGAATGATTGATCTGGGATAATCGTCTTCCCCTCAGGTGTTCGGTCTGGCAGTGAAGGATTTTTCCTCTTTAGGCAAGTAACACAGGACATGCACCACTCTCTTACATTGTGTCACCATCCAAACCAGAGGAATTTCTTCTGCACAGCAGCAATAGTCCTATCAATTCCAAAATGGCTATTTCCATCATGAAGAGCCCTTAAAATCCTCTCTGCTGCTGGTTGAGGGCAAATCACTCTTTTCACACTGTCAATGGTTTTCAGCACAAGCACATTGTTGCACAGTTCAAGCTTATCACCATCACTCTAATAAAGCTCTTCACATCTCGCTTGATATCGCTTGGTCTCTTGTGATCAGTTGCCCATGGTTGCAGTACTGTGATATCTGCATCTGTCTCTTGCATGTGAATCAGTTCCTCCATTGAGAATAAACTTGGTATGGCGATTGCGTCAACTTGAGGTGCCCTTGACAGTGCATCCGGAACTTGTATATCCTTGCCTGGTCTATGTTGGATCGTAAAATCAAAATTCTCCAGAGCAACCTTGCAAGTTTACCTCTTGGCTCCTTCAGACTGAGAAGATATGTCAGTGGCTTGTGTTCTGTTATAACTGTAAACTGGTTTCCCTCAAGGTAAACAGCTAACTTGTCCAGCGCCCACACAATAGCAAGACACTCTTTCTCTGTAGCGGAATAGTTCTTTTAAGCTCCCGTCAGTGCTCTTGACGCATACTCTATCACCCTCCCATCTTGCGTAAAGATGGCCCCTAAGCCGACATCACTCGCATCAGTCTCAACCACAAACTTCTTGGTAAAATCAGGATAAGCCAAAATAGGAGCTGACAACAGTTTCTCTTGTAGGTTCACAAAAGATGACTCACATTCATTTGTCCACTTAAATACAATGTTTTTTGTGTCAAATCTGTCAGAGGCTTCACAATGTCAGCAAATCCATGAATGAATCTTCTATAGTATGATACCATACCAACAAACCTCCCCACTTCAGCTGCACTTCCAGGTCTTGGAAACTGTCTGATAGCATTAACCTTGCCAGGGTTAGGGTTAACACCTTCTGTGTTAATAATGTGTCCCAGGTATTTAAATTCTGTCTTTGCAAATGCACACTTTTTGGGGTTCAATTTCAGTCCAGCATCTCTAATTCTTTTGAAAACAAGGTTCAAATGTTCCACATGTTCATCCAAGCTTCGTGAATACACAATCACATCATCCAGGTAGATCAGCAAAATCTCCCAATTGAGGTCACCAAAAACACTCATCATGAGACGTTGAAAAGTCACGGGTGCTACTTTTAGACCAAAAGGCATAACATTGAACTCAAACAGTCCTTTGTGAAGGTAAATGCAGTCTTCTCTTTGTCTTCTTCTTTTATAGGCACCTGGTAGTAAGCTTTGTTCATGTCCAAGGTCGAGAAGATTCGAGCTTGTCCAAAGGCTGCCAGACTGTCATCAATCCTAGGAAGAGGAAAACTGTCACCGATAGTCCGATCATTGGTAGATCTGAAGTCCACACAATACCTTGTCGTTAAATCAGATTTCCTTACTAGAACAAGAGGACTAGACCATGGGCTCTTACTTGGCCTGATGATCCCCCGTTGTAAGACGTCATCCACAAACTCAGAAATCCTTTCCAACACATCATGTGACACTCGACGAGGTTTATGAGACACAGGAGGATGCATTTCTAGTTGGTATTGAATGTTCAATAACGGTTGTGT